TTAATGTTTGCAGATAGTTTTGTGTGGATAAAAGGGAAAATTTATTTGAGAAGATATCATATATATGTATGCAGAAATTAATAAAAATGTGTGTGCGCGCGCGCACATGTATGTGTGTGTGCGTGGTGTAAACTGTCGATTGTACACTTCACTTTATGCGGTTGTCAATAGCAAAACAATCGACCATACGGAATGGGAAAATCTATTCTTGATGAAAAGTATAAAGAAAGGTGTATATTTATATCGAGAAAAGGGGGAAGAGAGAGAGAGAGAGTGCAGGAATACGAAGCAAAATATATCCTATTATAAAAGTATCTATATCGCACTCCGGAACATTTGCTTTTCAATAAGCTCTTTACTTTTCCTTCGGCATTGCTATAAATAAGCTTATTCCATTGTTTGTGTCAATAATTCAATTAAGGGATACTTCTGTATTTCATTGAGCGAAACATTCGGCGGTTATTTGAAAGGAATTGTGTGGTTATTCTCGAGTATGTTCATCGCTATCCTATCTATTCATAAACTAGATTATCTCTTTCGTTCTTCTCTCTCTCTCTCTCTCTCTCTCTGCTTGTGCTCTCCGCTTGAAAATTTATGCTAATTGAGGAATATTCGTTTCGCAATGGTCAGCAGTTTCCGGAATTTTTCGATGTTTGCTGTATTACCCGCATCGGTGAATCCATTTACTTTGGAAACTGCGAATGAAGTGAATACGTGCAGGAATTCGCTTCCCATAATTCAACTTTGCTTAACCACATCATTTCATTTTTATGCAATAATTATTGCGACATGTCAAACACGGGCGATTTAAAGCGCGCGAATATGTGATTCGCACGATTTCACTACAACAATCTAGAGAAAAAAAAGTACTTAACCTTTTTTGTGTTTGCATAAAAGGAACCCGTGCGGGCTATTACAGTACCTCTATTTCGTCCTTTGCGACGTTCAATTGAATTTCAATTCGGGAAAAATTTAATTTTTTTTTCCGTGGGAGGAAAAGAGAAAGGAACGGAGACGCGTTTGCGCGAAGTGCAGGAATGTTTGAAAGGAAGAAAGAAAAATCGTGACGGTGAGCTGAATTGAAAATTCGACAGCGAATGACGCAAGCAGGTTTTTCGTTTCAGTCGGCCGCACGCGTAAGATGCATGGGATGTGCCGGAAATTCCGGCGTCCCGGTGACTGGATGAACAGCGTTAATAAGAAATGCGCTCTCGAGCACTGTGCGCCATGTACCGAGAAATTCAACGATGCAACTGTGTCCTTTTCCATTCTGTTCTCACTGCCAGTTTGGGCTAATGTCGGGTCGCGGGTATTTCGGAGAAACGACATTCGCAGGCTGTCGCAACGTCGTTTTATTGTGGAATCGCTCTTATTCGCACGGGTATAAAATATTCCAGCTGTTTTAAAATTCTATAAGTGAACCGGATAGAATTTTTTCGTTTGCTTTTCTCTACTTTTTTTATGCTCTTGTCTGTCTTTACGTAAGGATATGGTACACTATATCGGACATAATGGCAATGTCTAACGGAATGTTCTAGTAGATTTAACTTAACGTTTTGTTGGATTTTATAATGCCTGGATCATCGCAGTGTTTAATTGTATCAATTTCATTGTTAACCAATTTTTAATGAGAGGCAGTTACTTTTGTTGTATTTAGTCTAATACGAAGCTGATCCATTAATAAAAAGTTGAAAAAGACTTTTACTTGGGGTGGTTGAACTCTCCGAGTTGAATGTCGCGACATTTCGCTCGTGTGAAAAAAAACACATATTCCGCGAAATACAATGAGGAAGAAGCACGTAGGGTGTAAAACAAAGTAGGTGCAGGGGCGTAAAATGCACCTTGCGCGAGTAAGTAAGATTAATATACGGCGGAGTAGCAATTGTTTTCGCACGCATTACATGTACCGTTGTGTCTACAAACACCGCGCACTCCCTGATTACCCAGAAATACAGCGGAGAATAAAATATCTTGGTGAAGTTTTCTTGCTGTTAACAACACAGCTCGACCCAGATCCCAGTGATGGATCGATTGATTGCGCTGACAGATGATCCCTTTACATGACTTCTTACTTACGCGGGATGATGCGGCGTAATTTGATCGAGCATCGTACTCGAGTATTTGTGCGTGTCGTATCAGCTCCTAATGTCAACTTGATGAATTGAGTATCAGAGTTAAGTTCTTTCTGGATTGCAAGTAATAATATTGCAACTTTCCTAAGATTTTCCGCAGGATGTAACGTTATATTGAACGTTGTATCGCAAAATAAAAATTCAGAGCAAATTGGTTGTTGATTTCAGTCGATTTACGGAAGCGTGATAGTGTTTTATCATATTAAATGGATGAATAAATCTTCAATCTGAACATCTATATATCACTATATCTATATATCGCTATGCGATTTCATATAAGTTTAAAGCGTCATCGTTGAATTATTTCAGCAATTTCCAGCGATACTTATAAAATCTTCGTTGCATCCGTTGCGTTCGGTTGCACGTGATATTCACGGGCCAGTCGATTTTTATTAGCTATCAATCAACCCTTTCCGTATCATCCAGAGAACTGCGCCTGTTGCCTATTATACTCTCCATTTCCTGGTAGCCACTAAAGCATGAAATCCTTTGAGCCGTCTGCATATTTTACCGATACCACAGTCATGTACAAATCGCATTCCTAGTAGCTATCTTTTATATAATCGAGGAGATCGGGAAAAGTAATAGCAATAGAGAAAAAGTGCGTTATTCGAAATTTTTTAATTATGAGAAATTTAATGTGGTTACCATTTTTCTAATTTTTATGTCATTTACAGCAGAATAATAATTAAGTAATGAGTTTAATAAAAATAATTTTTTTTAAAGAAAAAAGAATAATTATTTCCTAAAATTTTGTTAAATACTTTATGTTTTCCAAAATGAGTTGTTACATCACAATGTCGAGAAATTAAGGATTAAAAGTTAAATGTTTAGAATAAAATTAATAACACCAAAATGAGTAGATGTTTTATATAACTACAGACATAATTACAAAATTATAATTCATAATTGTAATTTTACTTAGATCATTCATCATCAATTATTTGTAACTATAATTGCGTTTACTAGTTTCGAGGTGAAGCTGAAACATCGACCGAATCGAAGATTCTGCTCGTCGCTTTCATTAAATAGATTAGAGCAAGGGATCGAGCTCCGTCCAGGTCGTCGCTGTCCTAACGAGGCATGCGCCTTTCTCTAAGACGAGAGATATACATGTAACCCTTTCCTCTGTGCTCCTCTCTCTAAGAGACACTTCAGCAAGCTTCCACTTTGACCCTTAACGACGCACAGCACAAAATTACATAGCTATGTATGATGAGGATTTTACATCTATCCTGCGCTTTCTGACTCGCAGTAGTATAAGTTTGCAAAGATAAATTTCAATTTGATTAATTATATACATATATATATTTTTTTTCTTTAAAATTTTTACATCTAGAGCTCGTGTTCATCTCAATCAACTAAAATTATGGACAACAAAATTTGATAATTAGTACAACTTTAATCGATGAATCTAATATGAAACTGAATTATAATATGAAATTTTTAGATATTTGCAAGAATTGCTTTATAAGATAAACTGTCGATCGAGAATATTTTTTACAGCAAGAAGCAGCTGGAGTGTGTTACGTCACTAATAAGAAAAAGGGTGCGTGCACGTGGATAGCAACCCTCTGTCACTCATCGCTGGGGCATAAATTGTCGCGTGTTGTTGGAAAATCACGGAGGTCGGCGGTTGGGAAACAGGCGCCGAGACGTCTCGACGCCGTTTCACTGGCGTCGTCTTCTCCAGGCTCCGGCTTTCTTCCTTCCCCTTCCTCTCTTGTCTATCCCCTTATATTTCTCTATTGATCCCTTTTTTCATCGTCCAACCGATCGCTCTCTATCGGCCATATTGCATTACACAATTATGTTTAATGACAAAATTACAAGGATGAGATGACATGCGTATTAAGTTTAAGATTTTTTCTCGTTTTCTGTCAACTTTTATAAGCTTCCAAAAAATTTAATCGAAATAGAAATCGACACTTTCAGCAGATTCAATTACCGTGACGCAACATTCATTTTATGTACTGTCAAATTTCGAAATGTCAATGTAACGTAACAGGAAGGCTACTTCCGATACTGTGCGCGACGTGTGAGTATGACATAAGATTAAAATACTTTCGTCGACGGGCATCAAGGGCGACATCATCTCTTGGGAAGCGTATTTCATTTCAACGCTGAAGCGCAAAGTTAGAGAAGAAAAATATATACACGTATTATAGAAGAAAGTTGTTACATTTTTCATAACCGTAACACTACTTCGATGATTTAAATGGTAAATTACTGCAGATTTCAGATTTAAAAAGTGCCTGTAGAGCAGAACATACATTAGGTAATTGTTAAATAATTAAAAATAAACGAATTGATAAATTAAAATTTATATATATTTATATCATAAAAAATAAAAGAGATAAAAATAGGGATAATAAAAATATTAAATAAAATAAATTATTCACAAAGATAAACTCTCGGCTACTATATTAAAGAAATAATTTATTAAAAGAAATGTATTATTCATGAAAGATTAAATGGAAGAATTAAATTCAAATAAGATAAAACACAATCATAAGCAAAAGATTAAAAAAGTAACATAATTAAAAAAGAAGGATAATATAATTTATTCGGAGAAAACTTTAATAATAAGCAGAGATTAAAATAACAGCTTCGTAAAATTTTATGACTATTTTGTATGCAATCGTTAAAAAAATCACAACTAGGGTTTCATCATTTTACAAAAATCTCTCATGATAGATAAATTAATTGCATAACGAATATTATTGAAGTTTTCTCAAATATAAACGAAATCCATGGAACAGGAACGTAAATAATTAATTAATGTAAATAATTAACATATAAAATATGCAAAACTTTAATCGAAAGATGAAGACATGGCAAGTAACTGGCTTTAATCTTTGTTTATAGGTTTCTGTGACTTTGATAGCGGTGTGAAGAACCACAAAGTAACAAAATGGCTGCGTTTGTGGCGAAGCAGATGGTCGGAAACAAGCTCAATGCGGTTAAAGGTAAGTGATTTTAAAGAATTCTTTTTTTAATTGTATGGTAAATTATATTTTTTACGCGATAATCTATTAGCTAATTTAGTTTTCATCTTTGAGATTTGAATTATCATGGCATCTTTTGTATTTTACGTCGACACATTCAATCTAAATATAAATAATGAGGAAAATAAACTGTGATCTTCAATGTGTCTGTAAAAATCCGGAAACGTGAATATCTCAGACTAAACGTTTTATCGCGATCACGAATACCGCTTCTACGATAAAATTCAATCGTAACTGTAAAAGGAAACGCTTTAAAGACTCCTCGGAATTCTTTTCTATCCACGCCAGTTTCAGCGAGACGTGACTCGCTGCAAATTTGTTTGCCGCCATTTTGGATAGACTCCGTGCGGAACATTACACCACTCGATTATTTTAACATAAAGTATCATTCAATTCACCTTTTGCGAAGAAAAAGATAAAAATTAAAATATTTACATTGTTTATTTTCCATCTACTATCTATTGAATGAGCTCATCCATTGAATGATTGAAGATAAATAGCGCGAGGTGACCGAGTAGCCCGAAATCTTAAAGAATAAAAGTACAGTGTGTTGAAAACATTATGTCTGGCACGTCGTGTATCAGCACGTTTTGCTTATGCAATTATCGTAAAACCGGATGGATCAGCATGCAACTACCGTGGCAGTCCTTGCAGCTATTATGGCCGCGAGCATCTGCAGTAAAATTGCGCTATCTTCGCATACGTGCATAGTTTTCGTCCTCGGTTGGATACGAAATTCCGTTCGTGTTTATCGTTGTGTTGCAGCTATTATGTTTCGGAAATTTTCTCTACGGTTAATTTCCCTGTTGCAAAACGCTTACAGAAGCATTTTCAACGAATGCATCATTTAATACAGAACTTTTAAAAAAAAATATGCCACTTTTAAAAATCAAATATGCAGGAACACGGTAAAGAATGCAAAATGTTAACCACAATATGGAATACGATACGTGATACAGAGAGATATTCGATACAATATTGCTTCTCTCCTTCTCTCTCTCTCTCTCTCTCTCTCTCCCTGTAGCAAACAATATTTATGCACATTTATTTGCAATAACGGCCAATGCAGTAACAGAATCTGAATCTTGGCGAGATGTTATTAATTGGTCGATTGGCGATTATTTTTCGTTAATATGAAAATTGACGATTTCAAATTCCGTCCGCAATCGCGGTTAAAAGTTGGTTGAAAATGATAGACGTACCCGCGAGACGAATTGCGACGCCGCGTTCGCTCATTCGTTCGTTCGTTCGTTCGTTCGTTCGTTCGCTTGCTCGCTTCTAGGATGTCGGCGGATTGAACGATGGCCGGCAATAAAACTTCTGTCATTAAGCGAAAGTTTCAGCTTTCGTGTGCGACGAAGCGGGGAGCGTGTCGCGGGGAATCCATAATGGGGAAAGCGGGGGAAATGGGGACCTTCCTCACAAATCGCGAACTCGACATCTACTTTGAATTCTTTGTCCATTTGAGAGATGGGGAGAGAGAGTAGAGTTTTATAAAATAGAATAGATGGACATGAGGTAGAGCAGTAAACTTCCTTCCCCGCTCTTTCTGCATTCTATACATGTTTCGAGAAAACTTTCTCTCGCTCCTTCGAAACGCTTAACAAAAGAGATATTGACAAAAATTCTTTTATTAGATTTCAACGTGTAGGCGTATCGAGTATACATACGCATACATATTTATATATAAATAAATGAACATAAATATCTTTTTATATACGCATATATAAAAACCACATATAGCTAAACAAAATGTAAGAATCAAGATGACTCGCGAACGAATGCAATTGCGATTAAAAGAGGGAAGGGAAATTAGGACGGATAGTGAACGGGAGGAAAGAATAGGCAACCCAGACCTCAATCGCAGCAGTCGGGTTCAATGAAAGCTCACGACGGTTTTGCAAACCGAGCCGCATTTAGAAGTTTGCGCGAGTCACGCCTCCCTTCCTCTTTCCTATCTCTGTCCTCTACTCCGAAACTCCGTCAGCTTTTTCGTTGCCTACGGAGGTTAATTGAAACCCCGCTAATCGATCGACCGCGACCTATGGTATCGAAACCTAGCTATGGCGAATCGATGGAGTGTCGAAACGAAAAGGAGATAGATAGATGAGAATCATGAGACTTTTCAGTAAAAGCATATAGGATAAAATCGAACAAATTACTGTTTGTCACATAATTGTTTTCGTTTTAAAGATTTATTGAATTAATTCACCACAACTTTTCAATTCTCAACGTTAAACACTTGATCCGATAACGACGTACATTATCGGACTTTAGCAAGTATCATACTTGAATTAATGACGATGTTTATTATGGACATTACCATTCAATCGATAAACTGGACTATTCGACGTTATCGCGACGTGACAGACAATCGTTCCAATTAATTATGCGCTTCGTGATTTATTCGAGGGGATAACATAGGCATTTCGACGAATCATCGTAATGGCGCGGCTGTCCCTCATCCTTGATGTCGACAGAAATCAGTTTTCGAAAATAATGCGAATCGCGGTCGTCGAAAATGCAGGGGATCGAGAAGACGACTCGGGATACAACGTGTACAACGTCGTCGCGTTGTAACGTCGCAATTCGGCAGAAATTTTCCAGATAATTTCGGCCGTACACACAGCATACAGAGATCGTAATTTATGCTCCAAATACAATTACGCAGTTGCCTGAGATAATTAGCGTAATGATGTCACACACTCGCACGTGGCAGGATACCTTAATTGCGGAACTTTCGCCCGTCGTTAACGATTTCCTCGCGTGCGATATACTTGTTGCGATACAACGGTGATACAATTACTCCCAAGAGACGGGCACAGTATCGATTGTATCGAGCGATTTCACTAAGAGCCATTTGTGAAATTACACACTGCAGAATTTTCAAATTGATCATTTGATCGAAATAAAAATGTGTCTAGTTTTTGAAATTGATCATCGTTTAGGCGATTTCTTCATGTATGACTTAAAAATGTTTTCAGTAAATTTTAAGTGAACGTTATTTAAATTGGAATTCGCACACACAAATACACACACACACACACACACACACACGTACGCAAAAGATTTATTTCTCGAGATTTTAAAATTGGAAAATTGCGGTGAAATTGACGCAAAATAATTGTATCGTAATATTTTCCACAATAACATCAGAATTTTAAGTAACATGTCAATATAATACAAGTCAATTTATTAATTAAATATTTGACGTTCCTGCATCTGCAAATTATTCGCTAAATGTAGAATATTATTGATAAATGCTGGAGCAAATGCGCCGCTGTCGATTAAATGAATAAACGTTTAAAGATTCGTTAGTTAATATGATCGAATTTCATTAAATGAAAAAAATATTACTTCCGCATATCTATGTTTCATATATCAGGCAAATTTTAAATTTTTTGCTGCGATATCGTTTAATATTAATAACGAAAAAATTTTATTCGATAGAATTATTAACGTATGACCTGTTTCTGTGCTATCCGACAGTGTGCATCTACTTTAATTGAAATCTCGTTTCGTAATATTCGACTAACGATTTGTCATGTGATAGGGGAACGAAAACGAGGAACGTATGGCGGCGCAATCTGTCGGAGAAACGAGCAAAAAAGCTCGATATATTTCGTGCTTGCGTTTTTGCGGTTGGACGTACCGCCGATCGATCGTTCCAGTTTTGGCTCGTTAAAAACCTCATAGGGGATTTTACAAGAAATAACTCCGTTACGTCAAGTAGGAGGAAAAATAGAAAATTTGACGCGAGCAATGACGCGAGATTTCATAATTTTCAACTGCTTAATCGAGAAATTCTTGTTACTTGGTATTTCATTGGTATTAAAAAAAATTCTGATCTATAAGAGTCGCGACACTTTCGAGATATTCTATTAACTATCATTGAATGATTGTATGTTCAGTGTTAAAACATCGTTTACCAATGCTAAAAATACGATGAGATGGAATTTCTCATATTGCGAACTTTTTATCGGACGTACATTACGCGGAAGTTCCATCTGAAACGCACCGCTTTTTCCGCGCGGGTATTGAAATTTTCGCCCGCCATTGCCGCGACCGAGTTACGTGTATTTCTATGCGAGTCGATTTATAGCGATTCTGCATTACATACGGCCGCTACGTTTAGCGATATTTAATTAAATCCCGTCTGGTAGGCGGAAACTTCTGTCGATAGTTCGAAACAGTTTGCAACCACTCTTACCACGGCCATCGGCCACGGCTCGCGGCGTGAATGGTCACGTGGGCAACAAAACCGTTATTTAGAAAACCGATCAGAATGCCCAGATAATATGTGAATCGCTTTACGCAACGAGGAAAATTCATATTGAACAAAAATACGAGATGCACAGGGTTGTTCGGATAGGGGGTTGGAGGTGGACGAATGTACATGTTTCAGCAAACAAAATAATAATAATACTTTATTGCGTGTGTATAAAATTGATTTTTAACAAGACAATGAATTGAATATAAAAGACATAAGAGCAAGAGATGTACACAAAAAGTGAGGTATCAGTAGATGATGACGCATTGGTAAAAAAAAAAAACGGTAATCAGAAATACGTAAATAGAGCAATAAATAACTAAAACAATGAAAAAAGAGTAAATTTTTACAATATTGATTTTGAGATGATTGATATGTTCTTCATGAAAAGACAATATTATCACAAATTGTAACAATATAGAGTTTTGTAATAATATACCTTTTTTTACGATGCGATATCTCGCTCAACGGTGCAGTCACTGTCGCGATGCGACGAGTATTTTCCTCCACCTTTTACATAATTTCATTAGAAGGGTCGGGTTAGTTTCATAAGCGTAGCAAAAACGCGAACAAGGAAAGAAATGTAAGGAATATGATAGGCTTGGAAATTTAATCAACTTTTTTTCTTTTCCTTTCTCTATTCACTGATAATGCGTCTTTTCTTTTCTTTTCCATTCCTCTTTGCATCTGC